CTTTCTTTTGTTTGCCATTATGCGGTTGTAAACAAAGTATTTAATGTTCTGCCAATTGCGGTTTTCAAGGGCATCAGGTTCTGCCTTTAAACACTTTTCGCATTCCCTCTTCCCTGGTACAGTTGTTGACGTGATGAAATGGCCCAAGTGTTTTTCCACAGCTTGTACTTCAGTGAGGTTCCATGCAGTTTTCGTCTTCAAGGAAGCTTTGCCTTAAAATTGTTAAAGAATAATGAACATAGATAAAATAGTCCAAGAAATTATTTTCTGTTCTAAATTCTATATTTTCCTGAAAAACAACTAATAAGTACATTGGACTAGTTGAGACCAAGATTCTTTTCTGTTTTCAGACTACACTGAATAATATTTATTGTGTCTATTGTGGTTGCAAATATTTCTTGCAAAAGAAAATCAACTTTAAAAGTTATAAATGGCATATCTCTGGTAGACAAGCCATGACTATCAGTATTTTTGTTACTTTTGGTTAAACCAAAATTATGGTACATGAGAGTATCCTTTTCTGTCATCATACAGATGTCCTCCACTGCTCACAAAAACAAGTACAACCCCACTTCCAGTGAAGTTGGAACCTTGAGTAAAACAAATAAAAACAAAATACAATGATTTGCAAATCCTTKTCAATCTTTATTCAACTGAATACACTACAAAGACAAGCTATTTAATTTTCAAACAAACTTTTTATTTTGCAAATATTCATTCATTTTAAATTTGATGCCTGCAACACATTCTAAAAAAGCTGAGACAGGTTGCAACAAAAGACAAAACCATTCGACTGGTGACTGCATTAAAAATAAATATCATTCTGTAGCAAACATTACCTTGTGGGCTCAGGAACACTTTAGAAAACTATTGTCTGTTGACCACAGTTWGTAACTGCATTTACAAATTCAATTTAAAACTCTACCATACATAGCCCAAGACATACAGCGGGTAAAATAGGTATTGAACACGTCAACATTTTTCTCAGTAAATATATTACTAGAGGTGCTAATGACATTAAATTTTCACGAGATATAGGTAACAACCCAAGTGATCCATACATACAAAGAAATCAAACCATAAATGTCCAGAAATGAAGTTATTTGTAATAATGTGGAATG